CCATTGTCGAGTAGATATTTGTTGGTCGGACATTTGGAGAGCATTTATGTATTTGGTTGTGTTTTAGCACATGTGATAAAGATGTTCTTATTTTACAGGGTTTTTTTTCTGTTTGCATCCATTTTCTTCTGTTGCAGAATGTTGAGACCTCTCAGCCACCGTACTAAAAAGCAACAGAAACCAAGCAATACATTAAATTCATACAAACAGTAAAGCAAAAGTGTAAATGTGTCATGCATGCCACACCACCACTGCTACAGTATGACACATGCTATAGTATCCTTACACTAACAGTGAATATATGATGAAAAATACTAAATTAAATCTTACATCTTATTAAAAATACTAAATGAAATCTTACATCTTATTAATCGGTCATCACTTGAGAGGCTTTTTCTCTGTGGTCTGGGTGTTTCATGATGCCATGGTGACTGTATTGCCTGTCCGTGAGACTGTAAAGTTAAATCCTGTTGCCTGCGATGTTCTGTGAGGTCTTGTGAACTTCTCTACTTGCCATGGCTGCAGTAGCCTCCTCATCGGGGTCATTTTCATCCATTAGTCGCCTGTTTCATCTTTAGGAAAGGTAAATTTTTTTAATGATTACTAAATTTGATTAAGAAAGTGTGGTATGGTCATGTAAAGACTATTCAGTGACAAATTCCCTTTTTGCAATTCAAAAAGAAATGTGCATTATAATGTGTTAAACTGCACAAATATATAAGGACCTGTAAGAAAGGTCTATGTTAATGAATTAACGTTAAAAAATAATCAATCTTACTTTATTTTCCGTTTTGGTGGCCTCAGAAAGATCAGCTGTTGTTCAGCAAGAAGCAGCTTCCGATGTTCTTCACTATAATGTTAATTTTCAATGAAAAACAGAATTCAAACATCAATTCTATTTCCTCTCCAACATAAAAACAAATAAAATCCAACCACACAAACCCCCAAAAATCGTATCTAGTAATGCGCTATAGATTAAAATCCACGTGTTAAGATAGTGAAAAACTATAAACTTACCTTGATCATGTATTAAAACATCAAAAGATAAAACCAACACAGCGTGATTGTCGAAGTTAGAACAACTAACTTAGTTATTTGAATTTCACCGCGACTGCGTTGAGTTGCTGAATAGCTGCTACGCAACTTCCGGATCCTCTGGTAGGCGGGATGGTGTCACTGGGTGCATTCTGGGAAAAGTAGTCTTTTTGCAAAGCGGATTTAACACTGTACATGTAAATCAACTACAATTTCCATGATGCATTGCAAACCAGATTGTATCAGCAGCCACAGACGTCGCATCGACTGCCGCGTGGTTTGCTCACACTGCTCTAAAAACACGCAAGTTTCCCGGAGATTTTTAAAAACAGAACCACGTTTTTTAACCGATTTCAATGGTTTACGTGGAGAACATAAATGTTTCTTCTCCAAATACTTACAATAGGCTATGTATAGGCTATTTTATGGAGATTATATAATTTTTTTATTGAGGAATTGTGAAAACTCAAAGCATGGGTGGTTTTTGCTTCAAAAAATCATAGTTTAACCATGGGTTTTTGTAGTACATCTGTAGGCTACCTAATAAATTCCCCAAAAAGTGAATTTGTGTGTGTGTGTGTGTGTGTGTGTGTGTGTGTGTGTGTGTGTGTGTGTGTGTGTGTGTGTGTGTGTGTGTGTGTGTGGCATATTGATTACCATTTGGATAACCACAAAGTATTTCAGTTCCATTCAATCTTTTGTCTATGCTGCAGACTGAACCATTTGTCTTCAGTCATTTTGCAAACATCTTTTTTTTCCATTCTGCAATCTGCACATTATCACCTCCTTAACCCCCCCATTAAAATAATCTTGCCAATAGAATAATCAAGGCTTCTTTCCTTAAAACCTGCCTACTTATGTGTAAAAGAGAACTATTTGCATACATATCTATATGTATTTTTAACTAGGTCTATAACAAACTTATTTCATTTTATTATTTTTAACAAAATTAACCCTATTTATGAGGTTGCATTATAATTATGTCTAAAATATGAACCAATTTAACACCACATCTTACACGGCTATTTTACAGTACAGCACTTTCATGAGGTCTGTTATTTGCTCAGCCAACCAAAACCCAACCAGATCTCAGCCAAAAATGTCCTTATTCTGGCAGACCGAACTCAAGCTTAGCCAAACAGATACAATTTGATTTGTTTCTTTTGGTTAGCCAGACTCCAGCCAGAGCTTAGCCTAGTACTGTTTGACACAAGAGTGTGAAAAAAACAGTGCCAGAATTAAGCCAGAAGTGCCGAATATAAGCCAGACTCGGCCCAGACTTTGTTGCTATCTGGGATGCAGATCTATCTTCCCTACAAACAAGGGACGTCCCCCGGACTTTTCAAACGTCCCCTTAGGTCCGCATTAGGTCCGCTTTGTAACGTTCCCTAGCGGACGTTCGGAGGACGTCCGCACTTGGTCCCCTTTGTAACGTTCGCCGACGGACATTCCGATGACGTTCGCATTTGGTCCCCTTTGTAACGTTCGCGGACGGACATTCCGATGACGTTCGCATTTGGTCCGCTTTGTAACGTTCGCTGGCGGACATTCCGATGACGTTCGCATTTGGTCCGCTTTGTAACGTTCGCTGGCGGACATTCCGTTGACGTTCGCATTTGATCCATTCTATAACGTTCGCTGACGGACGTTCTGAGGACATTTGTCCGGGCCAGTTTGCGAACGTCCCTATTTCGTCCCTCACCTGGCATTTCCATGACAACACTTAACCAGTCGCCCATGTTTGCTATCATCAACTGAAACTTTACAACTCAGACAAACGAATAATTAAACTAAAATATAAATGCAAATATTTGCATTGATTGTAAAATTAAGTTAATGCTAAAATGTTAGTGTTTTAATGTTAAGATAATGTTCATGTTACTTCATGTAAATTCTAATCACTAATTAAAGATGTATACCACGAGTCTGTTTTCACCCGTTATAATTTAAACATCAAAAACATGACAATTGATTCAATTGAATATGAGCTATAATTTATAAAGGCTATTCACATGCACAGAGATTGAATCCCAGGAGCTAATGCATCGACTTCAAATGATGAATGCAGCCAAGGAAAACGTGAAGAATGGAAAAGTGGATAATAACAGGTAAGACAAATAAAAGTATCCTAAACATTTACCTGTCAAACTTTGGTCAGGAGAAGGTGACTGGTTTTATTAAAAATAATTTATTTTAGGAAAAATATTGTTATAATTATTGTACTTAAGACTGATAGCACATACAGAACAAATAACAAAAAACAAAACAAAAAAAACATTGGAGAAACAAGCGAGTGATGATCAAATCATAGAATCAAATGCGGCTAAGCGAGTGACGTCATTCCTTATGTACGCGGTTTGTATCACAGTCTATGGTTTGTATCCATGGCAACGCTCAGCTGGGTAGCGTAGTGACAGTTAACGGTCCTTCTCAGACGCAGCCTTGTGTTTCCTCTGTCCGTCGTCTGTCTAAAAGGTATTTTTAATTATATTATTATAAATTAGTCACCATAACCACTGTCCATCTTCAAATTATATGAAAATGTTACCTTTTAAAACGTTTGCTGAAGTTGTCCGCAATGTACCGCTGATAACCGTTATATGCTAATATGAGTAGCAGCTACGAAGCTAACAGCTGAAAATGAGACAACATTTCACATATTGATAAAATCATAATGGAATATGTTCATTTTTGTTGTTTTAGGTAACGTTAGACGCCGAAGGGGAGAGCCATCGGATTAATCCCACAGCTGACCGACAAACACACACACACACAGCTGCCAGCGCATTTGAAGACACACACACACGGAAATGCCACCTTTACAATTGTTTTAAATAAATAATGTACTTTGTACCTTACACCGCGTCTGTTTTCTTTGGTTAGCCAGAAGTAAAATAAAATAAAATGATATTCAGGGGACTAAACGCGAAAGTCTCATAAACGTCCCGGATGGCCGCTGGTGGTCCTGGGAACGTCCTCTTGAACGTCCGGAGGACGTCTTCGCGAATGTCCGCGGGACATCAAGCGGACTCCACATGGGGACGTTCGGGGGGACGTTCGCACAGGCCATTTAGGGGACGTTCTGGGGACCTTTTTTTGTTAGCTGGGTTTTACACCTATCTACACACATATTTAGCTTACCCAGAAGCCTATTAATGTCAGTGTTAACATGGCCACAAAATGAATCAGGTTTTGCAACATTTACAAGAGTGTTGACTACCACTATCTTATTATATTGTTTCAAATAAGTGTAGGCAACGTTCCAGTCGGCGAGTGCTAAAAATAGAAATCGTGTGTTGCAAAGACGATGTCGCCCAAACGCGGTAGCAAAAATTGCCATAGCCTACTCAGATCAAAATAGCCTAATATGGAAATAGCAGGCGATTTATGATTTGGATAACTGTAAAGGCACTAAAGATAAATTTGGGTGCGCGCAAAGACCTTCGACAGATTGCCGCCGAAAAGTATTCCTGAAAAGTCCCTTTGCAGTTTGGATGGTAGCTGTGATGAAATAAGGTGTGTGTGTGTGTGTGAATGCATGTCTAAAAAACTTGTATAGCTTTAACGTAGACTTTAAATATAGTATTCAGAATAAGGGCAACAACCGACTAATAAAAAGAAGTGTTAAGTTTGGGTTTAAAAGCACGTGCTAATGGGCCAGCCTAATTGTAAACGACTTTTACGTTTTACAGCTTCTCGTCTTTTATTCGCCATATGAGCCGGTTATGGGGGTTGGGAGTGTGAAAAGACAAGACAGCAGCGATTATCCGGCCTGATGTGCTCACGGCCTCACCGCTTCCTGCCTTCAGCGAACATAAAACAGCTCCCTGCCCGCGAGCCATCCGCACCTCCGGTCACGTGACCGCGGAGCGCATGCAACTACACAAGCCTAGCTGACTGAGTCCCTCAGCTCATTTCCTAGATTAACCGGTCTCAAGATAATGCGTCACAGTCAAACACAGAAATTATATACCAAAGAATAATTTATTGTACAAAACTGAGGTAGATATAACATTACAATGCCTGTTTATCTTATGTCATGTTGACCTGCTGGAAAATCCTTGGCTACAATGTTTCAACTTGTTACAGCAAGAAACCAGCTACATTGTTCCAAAACACGGCTTATTTGTGTTTTCCAGCAAGGAGACCACAAAAATCCCAGTCAGTGTCAACTGGACAATCGTGACAGCAGCACCATACACAGCTATAAACAAAACATGATATAGCCAGATGGCCAATAAATAAATAAATAGATAAAGTTCATGTGAATGTCCGTGGAAGTTCTCTCAGTAACACTTCTCGTTGAAGTCGAGACACCGCCGCGTCATATCCTGATCTCTGAATCAGAGAAACGAGACAGTTTGAACAAGACCTTTTCCCCCAAAACAACCCGCTCTCCGATGAGCTGTCACATTGTTAGACTGTGAATAATCACCCACTGACTTCTCCACGTCAAGTGCCCTCAATGTCACAGCAGTTATGCGCCTCATACGCTGCCCTCTGTAGTGGGCAAAGTTCACGTCACTGTCATTGTGTTGTACCATTGCTGTTTGTCTTTTCAAAATGTCACAATTGTTCTTGGCATAGGTACAATTGACAGTGAGTCCAGCGCTCTACCGCAGTTGGCGGAATTATTCTGAAGAATTCCTCTGGCCTCCACAAACTCCAGTTTGGCTTTTTTGCACGGAATGAAGTCAGGATCTGTGGCTGTTTTGCTTCGTCTCTTTCTGGAGTGACGGTCCGGTCTGGTTGGGTTGCAGTTTTCTTTGTCCACCGTGGGTCCTGCGGGGTTGTGTAGATGCACATGACCCTCGAGTCCGGACCTTTGCTCATCCTCGGTGGACTGTGTCGCTGTCGCGCGCAGAGGTGTTGTCGTGGAGCTCGTTGTGTCCATGGGCTCCTCTGTTTGCGATGTGTTCTCTGTGACACTGAGCGTGTCGGATTGCCCCATTTTCTCGTTTGTCAGTCGAGCAGAGTGGTATATGTCCCTTGCAGATTTCATGACGAGCGTCAGCAACAGGCTCCGGTGGAGTCGGAGTCCACCGCGCTGAGTGCGCGAGCTGTAGATTTTGCTTAACGCATGGACCATAATCTGCTTGGCCTCTGCTGTGACATCCATCGTGTTTAGTTATTTAAGTAACTTCTATCCTCTTTTCAAATATACAATCAATATGTAAGCAATTTTCCCCCGAGCTCAGTTTACTTTTACTGTCGTTTCATTCACCGAAGTAAACCCCAGCGTTAAGACAGCGGGCTTTATATAGTTTTGGTGACGTGTTCGCTTGTGATTGACACTCGGGCTCCTCCCATGAATTGCTGCTTTGAGGAAATAAGTCAGAACGTGTATCATTCTGCTTCTGATGTAATCAGTCCTTCTTTTTGTTGTTGTTGTTGTCGACTAAGTACTAAATTAATCACCAATACATCTAGACTATCAATGACCTTTAAAAAATGTGTAAAAAAATCATCCTGTTTGTTTTACTGTAGACTGCATTTTATCTGTTTTAAATAATTGCATTTTTTACTAAAATTATATATTACATTATATAATTACTCGACATTACAGCACAATGACAAACGCTTTATTAGTCGTTGCCATGTTCCTAGCATGGGTTAATAGATAGACTACATTTATTATTCCCATGGATATTGTTAGCTTCCTCATTATCTTATGCCCATAAAAGGAACATCCGCTTGTCGGTCCGCTCTATGGAAAACCCATGATGCGTGGGCTTGTTCAGGCTACTTCCTGTTGCCTTATTTGCTTCAAGAGGTTTCGTCATGGCCAATAACCCCACACGACACGAGCGCGTCAAGCTTCCTCTCTGCCCATTTACGGGTGGATCCAGCTGTTTTCGCGTAAAACGTATGAACACCACCATTTTATCGAACGTTAGATCCCCTGATGTTGTTTAACCAAATATACATTTTCTAAATTCAGTTCACATTCGATTTACTTTCAGGACGAAGCAACTGTAAAATTACAGAGGCTACATCCTAACAAAATGTTTTGTTTGGCTATCAAAAAGGCAGTTGATCTATCGATGGGAAATAAGAACAATGAAATGTGAAATTGCATTCTCAAACTCAATCTCTGGATTGCAGACATGATCAGGTTGTGTTAAGAAATGTAGCACAAACCAAGTAATTCTCTGAGATCGGGTAAAGCTACAGTTTACCTCTCAATAACCTCCCAATGTCAAACAGTAGGCTACATTGAGTTATTTCAGAGTTCATCGACTGAAGTATTCCACTAAATATAAGTGTGGTTGGCTAAAGTATATCTATAAAAGTTGTGTGCCTTAAAGACAATCAAAAGTTTGTTTTTTTCCCCTCCCCAACAACTTAAATTACTAGCTTCAATTTTACATAACATTGACTGCTTTCAGTGAAGACCTCCATGTTTAGTCAAGGTGTATTCACTCCTAAAGGACTGCAATTAGATTGCATATTAAACATACTATGTGCATTATCAACTCAGTGGTTTGAGTCACACACACTTCCACAGGGGCTGCAAGATTACTTTTTGTAAATAATTAAAACACTTAAAAATGATCAGTACATTTATCTTTTTCCAATACAAATATCTATAATTTTTAAATCAAATTACATTTATTTATGAAGTAAATATATTAAGATAAGATATTATGTCTTATTTTCTTTAAAAAAAAAAAAAGAAAGTCTTCTTTAAACCTGGAAAAGAGATCTGCAAATGGGTAATATATATATAGAATGAAAGAAAGAATAGTAAATCAAATAAGGCACCAAAGAGACAAAAATCTTTGTTACAAACTTTTATTAAGATATTCAGCTGTATCCTTTGACTTTTCTCTTACTCATTTTTACAGTAGTTAATGTGCAATTACTTTTGATAATATTGGGTCACAGTTAGGGATTCACAAAGTTATTGGCACTTTGAACACAGACAGAATGGAGTGGATGAGCACTGGCGTTACAGGGTCAGTGCGTGAGCACAGCTGGGTATGGGTTACAACTCATGCTGAGAGTGCACGACTAACAATCAAACTTCATTAGTGCTTCTATGTAATATACAGTATATAGATTTGTATAGGGATGTAGTCATAGAAAGTGAGACACTGCATCGTAAAAAAAGAAGTTCACAACCTGTGTTTGTTGTTTTGAGTGTTCAAGCGAGCTGATGTCATCACCCATCCTGTCTGTATTTCTCTGTAATTCGTGATACCATGTCCGGACATCAATTTGCCGAGCTGTCACACGTTACTTTACCAAAACATTTGCAAAGTTGGGTTATAATCCATCTCATTTCAGGGAAAAGACTGAAAGCAGAGTGTTGGGGTGTGCTGGAAGAGAACGCAACACGCAGAGAAAGAGGTGAGCATCTTTTTGTGGTATGTCTGTTATTTAGAGTGGAATATAGCAATGCTGCATTCTGGGTAAAGAGGCTTAGACTGACCAAAAAAAAAACAAAAAAAAACCCTGCAAGCTAAAGGAAAACCTGCAAAATGCAGCGAGTCCATTGCTTCAAAACAGACGGGTCCGGTTTCTGCCTTTGCAGAGAAGACAGTCACTATTTATAAAAGAGTTCAATTTTTAATACACCACTCCATACTCTCTCTTGCAAGCGGTCAGCGATCCACCAGGTTACAAATTCACAATGATCTACAATGTACAGTACTCCAACAAACTGTGTTACAAGGAAGAATGACAAGACTTATGGGCAGTTAAACTTTCACGCGCTTTCTCCACCTTCACAGGCGTCTGCCATCGAACTGCTCTGTGCTCCGTGACACAGTCAGACTGAATTGCAAGGTGCCGAGGAGCACGTCTATGAACGCGAACCCCAGAAAAAGGTGCTTTACTCGGGCACAGAGAGCAGACAGATAGGCAACGTGATATGGACATCCTGGCCTTTTTTTTTGATTAACACTGGTCCCTTCATTCCCTCTATATACTTGCCTTAAGAAACCTTTCATACCAGGCGAGACGTACGATTTTCCTAAATAATAATAAATCTTTAAAGGTGAAATGTGTAACTTGAAACTAATTCACAAAAACAATGATTTCAGCCTCTTCCGGGCTGGTTGTGATGCTCAAACAAACAGAGCAACTTTTTGATAGCGCCACAGTGTTACACCCTTCGCGAAAGATCAACCATCAAATGGCTTACTTTTAGCATTTTAACATTGAAAAAAAATTACACACGTCACCTTCAACTTCCCAGAAGGAGAAAAGCCATCTTTCGTGGCCACTAAAAGTCATCTTTCTCAGTTATGACACCCCCTGGTGTTGACTAAGTAGTAAATTCAAGCCGCAGTAACAACACACAGACAGCAGGTGGCGCATGGACACAGCGGTTCCTCTCCAGCGACGCATGCAGCATATGTGATCTGTGCCATCAAAATGGAGGACGCATAAACACTGGCACAGTCATAGCCGGCGAGAGGAGAGAGAGGAGCGCCGCCACTCCATGTCCTACCCAGATACACACGCAGTCCGTCTCTCGCAGTCCTCCTGAAAAGGCACCAGTGACCCAGCAGGCCTTTAACATCTAAAGAATAGCACACATAGCACCAGTTCATCCCTCACCGTGCCCCCACCCTCCCAGCACTTTAGTCGATAAAAAGAAATAAAATTAAAAAAAAAAATACTCAGTACTCTATCTTCAGTCAAACAACTCTATATTGTATCCTTAAAAAACTTGGCAAGTCAACTCTTCACCTTGAATTAGTAGTAGTTGAAAAGTAAATACAGTACACGTGGTCTGCTAAAAGAATGGAGAAATGAACACATGCACATTCCCAGGTGTTGATTTCGCAGGATGTTATACATTTCTACACTAGAGTCATTATTGTCTTCTGGTCCAAAAGAAAAAGAAAAAAATAGGTCACCGGTCAGACCAGAACCAGACTGCATTTAAGACATAAACTTACCAGGAGTTCACTTTATTTGCTATGACTCTAAAGCATGAAAACAAAACAAGAATTTCCAGATATACAAACAGCAGGTAAGCCAGACTTGGTTATGCAAATAAAAGAAAACATTTTGAGCTAAAACAAGAGGGGTGAAAGACCTAATGTAAGCCTTCCATTAAAACGACCTGTTAAAAACGCGGTCAAAATCTGTTCAACAGTCTCTTCGATATTTACATCAGTATTCAACATGGCCGGCCGCAGACACAGGGGTGCATCCTGTTATGGGCCAGATACCGACACATACACATCCATGAAGTTTAGTCCAAAAACCATCGATTACGCTCTACAAAAAAAGGTGCACAATCCACCACTCTCCTCTACAAAAAGGTGCAAAAGGCTCTAGTTCAGTCTACGAAAAGGTGCAAAGAGTTCCATTTCTTCAGAAAGGGGGCGGCTACTGTATGTGTCCCAGGAGATAAAAACATCACTTATTACAAACACGCACGGCCTCCCAATTCGGGCGTGAAATATTAAAATCGCCTTAAGTATCGTATTTCTGTTTATGCGCGGCATGTGCATATAAAACCCATGCCTGAGTGCACATTAAGACATCACATGCAATCCCATTCAAATCCTGATGGAAATCTGGATTATGCAAAAGTTCATGGGTTACGGCAAGCCTTCAGACATCCGAAGAAGCCTCCGATGCATAAACGCGGAAACAAACACCCTAAATCCCAGAATCAACACATCACCCACATGCAAATACACAGTGCCAACTATGTGCAAGGAATGTATACAGATGGTGACTTGTGTGGACACACACATGCTTGCCTAAGCGAGCACACACACACACACACACACAGCTGCCCAAACAGGGACATGGGCAACATGGAGAGACTTAATCATTCTGCTCCTCCTCTCCTGGGACACAGGCAATGTAAACCCTCCTCCACTCCCAAACACACACAAAGTCAGGCCCAAACCTTAAGACAGTAAAGTGACTAACAATAAGACGCACAACCTCCTTCCCCCTGGGCTGTAAAAGCATGTTTGTGTGCGATAATGGGGGAAGAAAGCTAAAAGGTTTACACGCAGTTTTTATGTCCAACACAATTTTTCTCTTCTGTTCAGGGGATAGTTCATCCATTTCTGTCATCATTTACTCACCCTCATGTTATTTTAAAGAATGCTTCAACTGTTGTTGTGCAAACGCAACGTCAGCGGGGTTGAAATTACCGTATTAATTGCGTCACTGTTCAAAACAGCCAAACGAATTCTGCTACAGAAACGATGGTAATCCAGATAAAAGCCAAGCACCATTCTTAAAAATGTAAGATAATCCTTATGCAAAAATATTCCTCATTATTCTCAATATTCCCATTTAAAGCCCAATAACAAGGTGTCTCTTGAGGGGGAAAAAATAAAAAATAAAGATTTTAAAACAATCCCTCTCTCTCTCAAGCTCAAATGGTGTGAGCAGATAAATATATTTTTATCCTTTACAGTCCTTAATCAACTCTGAATTCATACAAATCACACACAGTGGAACAAGTACAAGGGGAAAGGAGAAAATGGCGACATAAAAAAACAAAGAACGTGGCAGACTAAGATCCCACATATATTTTGGGAGGAATGGAAGGAGAGGAGGATATCAGATTCTTTCCATTTTAGACAGAGCGAGAGACAGAATATGCCACCTACTTCTCCTCTCCTCTCCTCCCTCACTACTTTCTCCATCTGCTGTTCCTTTAGATCTTATGACAAGCATTTTTCCTGTCTCTCTCCTGGGCCAAATACAATCGGCTAGTCCGACATAGCCAGGTAGCTACAAACTAATACATTCAAATTCAGTAGAGTGAGATCAGGGAACATCGGGCCTCCAGTCGCAATAACTTTTCCTGCTCCTAATTATGTATTCCTATAGCATCGGTGACTAGATTTACTTGCTGAGCATGGAGGCAAAGGGGATCTTCTGTGCAAAAGAGGGTTATTCAGCAAAAACAAAAATGATTGAAAAGAAAATAGCGCCCCTGGTAAAAACCCCACCGAGTTCCTCCCGACACTAGACCGTGCTATCTCCAATCTCCTACCCGACTCTCCCTTTCCCATCCCAGGCAAAAGCAGCAGAGCCCAGAGTCACGCAGCGGGGTGGGAGGCAGTAAGGAGGTGGGGCGGCAGAGGGGATGGGGCAGGGCTTTCCTCGCCAGGTCGCTCACTGAAACAAAGTGCCGTTGTCTCCGCCCACACCCTGCAGAGACTCGCCCGAGGATCCTCCGGTCTCCACCGAAGCGCCGCCCTCCAGGCTTGCGGTCTCAAAGGTAGGCTCGCCGCTGAGGCCGTCCGCTTCCATCTTGATGCTGTCGGGAAGGAAATTGGCATAGGCGTCGCCCTCCGCCATCAGTAGCTTCAGCTTGGGGATCCAGCTCTTCCTCACCACACGCCGAGCGTTAGTGCACATGTCCGCCGCAATGGCGTTCATCTCGCTCTCTTTAAAGCTGGTGGCGAAGTTCTGGCAGTAAACTGTTGACATACGGGAGGGAGTCAATTCTAAAAGGCACGCTCACACCAAAAAAAACTAAAACGACAATTATATCAGCATCCACAACCATAGGTGATAACGTTCTAGTGGTATCATGATTCGCTTCAATACACAAAACTGAGCTCACAATACTTCAAACAAAGCTTTTTTTGGTTTACTTCTAAGACACGATGAACAGTAAACAAAATGTACGGTGGCTGGTTACATTAACTGCTAAAACTAGTCTTACAACTTAGTCATCTAGACCCCGTTTACACCTGGTATTAAAATGCGATCTGTATCCAGATAAGTTATCCGGATAATAAGTACTGATTCCATTTACACCTGGCCACATAAATGTGTTTTTGCAAAACGGATATAAATCCGATCTTCACCTCCTGCGTTATATGCAGATTTATTGGATTGCACGCCACCAAAAGCAACAGATCTGAGCGGCATTTTATTGATCATCAGCTAATTTCCAAATCAGAGACATCAATAAGAGAGAGTGGCAACAGGCCTGGTAAGATAATTTCGTTTCTTTACTTGAAGATGTGTTAACTGCGTCTGTGACTTACTTTCACTTTTATTTGCGATGTTTGCACGTTGAATAGACGCTCAGCTGCTCATCTGCGGTGATGCGTGTCGCGTGTCGCATAGGCTATAACATGACATATAGCCTATATAACACGCTCTCACTCGTTTATTTTTTAGCATTTTTGGGAGGAGTAAAATATACATATGTGGTTTCAACAACCAGATTGCGTTTACACCTAGTAAAGATCCGGACACAATGCGAGCCAGACTACCTCCAGATGTGGTCAGGCAGATCCGATCACGATCCGATCACAACGCGTTTACACCTTGCATTAACATGCGTTTTTTATTATCCGGATAACTTATCTGGATACAGATCGCATTTTAATACCAGGTGTAAACGGGGTCCTAGTTTTTTTCTTCAAGGTAGGTCAAAAAACTTCTAGGTTACATAAAAAGGTAGATTGGTCTAATTTGAATCCAAAAAGCAAGATTGATTAGCCCTAAGGATGAAGAGATGTTTATAACTGTATCCATCTTATTTTGATAGCATTTACTTTTATCATCAAAATGTTTCATGACACCTCTTAAGTCTAATTTCGCGAGAATCACGCAACTGCTGGTTGGTCAGACTAGTTCAGTGGGGTGTATAAAAACTTTATCTTAATAGTTATTGTATTTCGTGTAACAGGCCTTCATAGGTACGCAAATGAGTGCAAAAGATCAGGAACTCACACTTGACAGCGTGCAACACACGGCTGTCCAGCGGCTTGCGGCTGGGGTCATTGGTGGAGGAACGGATGCCAGTTCCACAACTGTTGGCCAGAGTGCTCCTGTGGCAAACAGAAACAGGAAAGTTAGAGGCCTTACACTTTCACTATTATGGAAGACATCTTTAACGTTTCTCAGACTTACCTATCGAAGAAAGCAGCCAGCAATCTCCTCAGAAGGACTTTGTGCCTGGTCCCTGCACTGACGTGACAGTTCATCAGCTGAGCTCGTGAAATGTACACACTGGTGCCTGTGGACCAAATACATGACAAGTGACTACAGTGGCTCAATCTTAAGTTTATCAAACGACGAAAATACTTTGTGCGCAAAAAACAAACAAAAAATAACCACTTCATTCAAGTTACACAACGTGAACTCACTTGAGACCCACAGAGAAGAAAATGAATAGTTGAATGAAGTCGTTATTTTTGTTTTGTTTTTAACAAAAATAACTCAAAGAACTAAATAATCGATCGGCTCGAAATAAAGAGCAAATTGGCAATATCAAACGTGCATGAAACAATTTCTCTCGTGTTACAATATACACATATGCTGCTGTTTTGGTGATTGTTGAAACAAAATGCTCACCAAAGCTGCATTAATTAATTCATTTTAAAATTAAATATACTTTTAAATGAGATGTATTATTTAATGTCTTTGTAATTCATTAGAAATGTCTTTCGTCACTTATGATCAATTAAAAAGTGTCCTTGCTGAAAATAAGAATTAATTTCTTACATAAGAAAAAAAAATAGATTTTACAGTGGGGTCTAAAGTTCCAAAAAAATACCATTCACATTTAAAACCTGGAAATAAGTTCATTAATGTTTACATTATACTGGATCATGTTTCTAGACGTTACACTGTATATATACACACTTAAAAGATTGCCAGATTGACTGGCTGTTTGTGTCTAGATCTTCAAGATTTCCAGGACTATAGATGAAAAGTCAACCGTCGTCAGTCATTATAATTCAAAATATTGGATTGGGGGGCTTTACTAAAACAACATTTGAAAATCATTCAAGCTTTTTTTTTTCCCCCCCATCATGCTATTAATTCAACATTTTTGTCTTATTTTCCATTTTTCCTTTTCACTCTGCCAGAGCTTCATATTTGTTCATCATTTAATGACTTTCTGTCTGACGACATTTTTTTCCCAAAGACCTTTTTATCGTTTGTCTGCTCGTCTTGTTTCAATTCCTCATTTCATTTTTCACTTTATATATTGCTTCATGTCTGGTCTTGTTCGAACGATTTCGTATTTGTAAAGCACTTTGAGCAGCATGTTTATATATGTGACTGGTGTTTAAATAAAGTTTCAGTGATTACTGGAATTCCTCTGTTATGTGTACTGAACAGTTCCAGTCGGACAGCTCAGAGTCACTTAAGGCCACGCATTAAAGCTCATAAAAGCCTCCATTACCTTACAGTCCCTCAACAAAACCTGTTCTACACCACAATACCAAAACACAGCTTCTCCAAACATGGTTGACCTATCAATCACCACGAGAGATCGTTTGCTTTTCATGGGCATTGAACATGACTCAGTTGTATGATGCCAGTTTTACTCCCTATTTGTCTCTTCTATAGATGAATATCATTTTCTCGGCAGATGTTTTTCTTACAGTGCATACAGGGTGATATGACGACTGATTGAGCAACAAAAGAACGATTTATCCCACTATAATACACCTTTCCCTCAAGATGTTTTGGTTTATCGGTTGCGTTTTCTTAAGAACCAGGGTACAATGATCTGACTCAGACCTGAAACTAGCTCCAGTTTCTCTGCAGGGTCACCTTCCTCGTAAAGTTTGGGATGACAGCGGTTGCCGATCTGAGCGATGAGCTCGGCAGGGAGAGAGGCGAGATCCTGTCGGCCGCGCATCCTCGGCCGCGTCTCTGAGTGGTCCGGGAGGGCCTCCACACGCTCCCCCGCTGAAGATGAGAGAAAAAAAAAAAAGAAGAGAAAGGAAGTTTATGGAGAGTAGAGAAAGTGTGAAGACAAAAACGTGATCTTGCCACGTGCTGTCTAGACAGTTGTGAAGATTAAACCAGCACTCAGGTCTTTTGACTCTGGAGAAACAGATAGATAATAAAGACCTCTTGGGACTGAGACTAATAAAAGACCTGTGAAATCCAAAGGCATCAGAACACATTCAGTTTTCATGCTGTCTGAGAGAAGATAAGACCTTCAGATCAAATATTCATGAGCTTCAAACAGTTGAAGCATTTTAACAAAAAGTGTGAATTTAATTTAACCATGATGATATTCCTACTTAAGAAACACAACAGAGAGTAGACAATAGTTAACTTGTTAAAATGGAAGCCAAAAAACAAACAAAAAAAAGCAGGAGCCTGTATAGATTACAACACGTACAGGATCAAAGGAAGTGCTGGTATGGGAAGTGCTATTTTAAAACTTAAATGAAAATTCTGTCATCATCAAACCTCCATGACTACTTTTTTTCTTCAGTGGAACATTTTCTTTCAGGTCGTTTTCTTTCGAACCGGACTGGAACTGGCTTTTTTTGTGTCATTATTCAATGAAAAACATTGATGAAATGACTTGATGAGAGAAGTAGTGATGTTAGATTTGTAAATTATTTTTGAGTCAATCTTTTCAAAGAATCGGTTGACAGTTCACAAAACTGGTTTGAATTTAAGTGAACAAAAGTGAAAGCGAGGCCGGGTATGGTAACCCATTCTAGGAATCCGTCCTCTGCATTTAACCCATCCAAGTTAGACTGACCCAATGAACTCAACTGTAAGCAGCTCACGAGAGGGAAAGTCTGAATAAATAAGAGTTGCGGAAAAAACAACAACTTTTAAACCTTATTGTGATGTACATCGCAGTGTAACAGATTAGTGGAAAAAAAAGACATGTATGGCAAGAATTTGGTCCTATCCATTGGTTGTTGATTGAACTGAACTCAGATGTGGGATTTGCAATCAACTACATAAGTCACCAAAGACAAGCCTGTCGTTTCACCGGAAGAATAGGTTGAAATTTTGATTACAAGGTGGTAAATGAAATATGCATGGATAAATTGTAATAAATAATTGTATTTAACAAAGGATTTCTCGCACAAAGCTATTGTATGGCTTCAGAAGACTTGAAATACAGTGCAAGAGTCATATTGACCAATTTTAAAGTGCATTTTTAAGTCTGAAAGCTCCATTTCAGATTCATTGTAATTGCATGGAAAAGACTACGAGTACATAATTAAAACTTCACCTGTTTTTTTTTCATGGAAGAAAAAGTCATCATACAGGTTTGGAACAGCATGAGGTAGAGTAAATGATTCTAAATAATGACTCAATTATATAAATAACTTTAAGTGTTTCCATTTCATGCAGCAGGGCTGTGGACTCACCTGTAGCTCCCACGTTTAACATGCTGTACATGGTGTACATGTTGCAGATCTGCCTGTACTGCTCTTCAGTGCCATCATCCACCACCTCTTCCTCTTCCTCGTCGTCATGGTAAGAGATGGGGGAATCGCTGGCGTAGGCACTCAATGTACCGGGGCTGGTGCCTTCAGGAGTGGCACTGCTCGTGCCGTTGCCATTGGTGCTGCCGCCGCTACTGTGACCCCCCTGACCCATTCCTAGACCCATACCAAGTCCCATGCTACTTTGCTGCTGGATGGCGCTTCCACGTGCCATCTCTTGGGAAAAGCGGGCGGCCTTCCTCATCCCTCCTCCTCCGGCTGTTCCCGAGCCTCCGCCACCTTCCCGATTGCTTCCTTCCCAGAGCCGCTTGGCCACCGGCGCGCACACCACAGAATAGGGCGAAGCCTCCGGTTGCTCCGTCTTCACCCGAGACACCAGGGGCAACGGGGTCAAGCAGGAAGTGGGCCGACTGGCTGAGCCGCCTCCGTTTGCCGAGGCCCCTGCTGCCGTCTGGGTGACGGGACTCTGAGGCTCCGATGGAGGAGTTTCTTCGGTGTGGAGGCCCTGCGAGTCGCAGCTGGGCGAGCTGACCTTCAAGAAGAACTCTGTGCCCTTCTCCATGATCTGCTGGATCTGGAGAAAGCCAGCCGTGTACATGAGCAGAAACTGGTCTCCGACGTTCATGCTGAGACGGCCGGTGTAGCAGAAAGCCAGGATCTGCTGAAAGCTCTGCGGCTGTACGGCCGGGGGCAACTCCACCACCGTAGGGGTTTTGCTGCCCGCGCTGCTGTTGAAAAGGTCACGGAAGTAGGAGCTGCTGGCTGCCAGCACGGCGCGGTGAGCTTTAAAGGTGTGTCCTTTCACCACCACGGACACGTCGCAGTACAGGCCCTGTAGCCGCTGCTCGTTCAAACACTCCAGGACATTGTTGCCGAAGTTTGGGATCGCCATCTGAAGGGTCTGAGCCATGGCGCTATGGCCAGCACCACCAGAGAAATCTGAGCGGCACCAGAGGAACAGAAGGAGGGAAAGACAGATGGAAGAGAAAGAAAGAGATCTTTGTCAGCAGCATTCTCTCAGCAGCACAGTAGTTCATCCCTCAAGACTCATTGCAACCGTCATACGCCTTTAAAGCAGCAAGATCCACTAAATCTAACATCATTTACTGCAGAGACACAAACGGTTATTGGCAACAGGCTGATACATTAAAAGGTGGTGAAATGTATAATACCCCAGGGATGAGCTATAGGCACCTTCAGCAGACTGGCCTAAAACATGCGAACTAATAGGGTGGTTGGCGAGCCGCCTCTAAAATCCTGTGAGCAGGATGTGACTGCTAATCTGAATGAGATGGTGATTCAGCTGAGACAGAGATAAAATGGCACTCTTTACAGTACTACATCAGGGGAGGGAGAGAGGGGGAGAGTGCGAGAGAGATACTAAACCAGTGATTGAGGTCATAGTTGAGGAAGAGGGTGGAAAACAATGGGCTCTGACTGACACTGCAGTCAGTCTTATTACTGCTAAATGTGACTCTATGAGCAAAGCCATGATTACAGCTCACAGCCGTGCTGCTGGGGAAATTCATTATAACCTTAACTTTCTACTTTAAAATAGGCTGTTCAAACATTTTACAAGTATGAAGAGTTATAACTGTGGTCTGTTACATTTTAAGCAACAATTACACTCAGATGGGGCTTTGGGGGGTGTTTTTGCAAGTCAGCAGAACTTTCTGAGGGGGGACAGATTGACATTTTTCCATCAAAAGAAAAATGGTTGCTTATTGTTCAGCAATCGTTAGGTGAAGTAAAAACAGCCCTCAAATCATGACAGCTAAACCAACACGGCAGATGTGATATACTTCACACATTAAGATTAGACAGTGGTAGGCAACACATCTGGCCGGGCACATGTTTCCCACACAAGCCATCACATTAAAAATCACTGAATCTGATCTGATCACACAGAACTAACAGGACGTTCGTGGTAAAAGAAGTACCCTCTTTGTCTGACTTCAGGCTCACTCCCCCCTCCCTTGCATGCACACACACACAAGCCATAGACATCAGACAAAACGGCTTGTTTACAGTTGGCCAGAGAGCTGTGGCACACATACACACTGAGAGGCCCAGGGTTTATTTAAGAAGCTTTCCCTTGGGGTGGGGGAGGAGAGGGACACCTTAGGTACAGTTATTATGGTGTGTGTGAGAGAGAGGGGGGCACAACATTTGAAAGACTGTCCTCACAACTCAAACTGTCTGTTTGAAACTTTCAACATGCAACCAATTGAGTACTGGAGTCTAAAAACACCTAGGCCTAAATAAAATAAAGTAATCTTAGAACTTAAATCTTAATTTATTTCATGCACTTTTTCTCAATGACAAATACCTTAACTATTATACCTAACATTTAGGTAAACAGGGACATTTTTAGGCAGTCAGCATGAAAAAGTGATTTACTTATTTTGAAAAGTAATTTCAAACTAAATGTCAGTCAGTGGTTCTCAACCCTTCTAACTTCAAGATTAACCAATAAAAAACTATTTTTTGTAGATAATGTTAAGTTCTTTAAGGAAAAAAATAAATACAAAAAGCTGTTTCTTTGGTGCTGAAGAACTTCTCTGTTCAACTAACCTAGAACTTTGTGAAATGTAAAATAACAGAAAAATATTACCAAAAATTGAGTGAAAAAAATGCCACTACAGATATTTTAAATACAATTGTTGACAAGAGACAAATGATAAAAGTACATTTTGTTCACCAAGGTTGTATGCTGCACACACACCAAACATGACTGAGTGACAGCTCAACAAAATATCCCTGATTTTCCATTACAGTAATTTGAAGCTTGTTACACTATTTATATTACATTTACATGTATATTACATGTTATTAGCAGATTTTTCATTTTTATTGTTAAAATAACACTCAAATATAATATGACTGGGGGGCCCCCTTAGCAAGTTTACTAAGTGCCCTTGTGGGACCCGGGATCCCAGTCGAGAACAAAAAAAAATACAGCACAGCTTTAGAATCTGTCTCATACTGTCATGTCAAGCCTGTGTGATGGAGTGCAGACGCAGCCACTGAACATACGACGGTGCATAAACTAACACTAATTCAACAATGCTGAACAGTTAAGTAGAATATAAGTAACTAATGAGCAAACCTTTGGCCGCCAGCCCTGCCAGTACAGCAGTGGTATGAGGCTGTGTCGGCGGCAGGCTAACCGTGTGTCAGTCAATCTGCCCGTCCGTCCGGAGTTCTCCACTGGCACGGGCCGTGAAGGGGGGTGAAGAACGATGGCAAAAGCGCCCACTATGAGCCACTCTGTGAGAAATGCAGCACCTACATGCGAGCGAGCAATAACGCAGTGGGGGGGAACGCCGCGACGCACTGAGGGCCGCGCGAAACGAGCAAGTTTGCCGCTCTTGTCCCGTCTTTGCCAATGCACCGAACCGAGAGCGAGCGTGCCTACATCCTCGGGCCTAGACGGGTCCGTCTCGTGCGCGGTACCGCTGAAATGAGGGTTCGCCCCGTTCTCCACCCCACTCAATTACAACGGCAACACTCAACAATCTCTAACCACTGAATGAGCAGGCGGTTGTTAGCATCCTTAAATACCCAAGTGCATACTTTTCAGTCAACGGAATTTCAAAGTTAATGTTCCATGGCGATTTGCGCGCTAGTTCGGATACCCCACCTTATCTTATTTCACAGACATCAACAGGTCATCCCGGGACAAATGCACGAACTGGGGGCGAGCCAGACTGAACCAGCGCTGACAGCAAGGGGGGTCAGCTAGACTCCGCCAATAAGAAAATGACTGAACTACTCGCCGTCGCCACAACAACATCAACCACGCTCAAAGTGGTCTCTCTTCAAACTACATGCACAAATATGAGCCTTTCGGTTAACAGATTAAAGCGATCCCGGAAATCAGGTTTTTAAATTAGCCAGATCTGACTCCGGAACATCTGCCAGCGCGAGCGTTCAGCCATGTCAGTGAGGTCGGTGAAGTGGTTAAACTTTTTGTTGGTACCATTAGTCTGTGCCCATCCCCCACCGCACACCTTCCCCAAAACAATGCCCCCCAAACACTTCAGCGCCATCGGATTTCAGCCTAAATGCCAGGACAGCCGCTCGCGCGCCGTCCTCGCGTGTCACGCAGCCTCACATGACCTGCTGCGGGGATTCGAAGGCAGGATACTCACCCCTAGCTGGAGGCCGTTTCAAAGTGTTTCAATGGAGTCCGCCGCGCTCGCTCTCCTTCACTCTCTCGCCTCGTCTGTCTCGCGCTGGAAACAGCCATTCATTGTAGGCATAGGCGCGAAGTCGATCGCAGAGCCATCGAGCGCGAACTCTTTTTCCAGCGGGATCCGGAGCGCAGAGCCACTGATCATGCATAGACTAGACATGACTCCCCATCGTCACTCAATCGCATGATCATCACAGGCGCAGCCTCAATGCCAGGAGACCTATCCAGCGTCGAGATGTATTTGCGCATAGGCTGGCACAGCAACAGCTAGAGCCACCGCCTCGTTTCCATACGTGCGCAAAAAGTAGGCCATGCCTCTACGTCTCGCCACACAGATCTCCAATGTAGAGCACGCAGAGAACGCCATGAACTCGGAACAGCACACCGCGAGGGAACGTTAACATCAAGTTTGCTTATTTTGAAACAACGTTTAGTGTTGGGGGGGTTTACTGCGTCCTGAAATGCGTGGCATCTGGACATTTTCTTTTAATATTCATCGCATATTTAATTAGAGTAAGATCTAAAATTCCTGTATATTGCATTTTAACAGCCCCATAAAATAATCTCTAAAAATATTCAAATGAGTCTTGTGGGCGATTCTTCATTGGAAATGCTCGTCAAGAAATTGTATGGGAACCATAAAATACTCACTGTTGGCTCGAATAGTCCATGTAAAATTGCCCGCATATAGCCTATCTATGAGCGCGTGACGTCACATGCTGACCCTATAGATGTCCTTACATTACCCCGGTGAGCTACATTTCCAATTGCATTTTTGTGTCTGAAAACGTGCGCTCGGGCTTCCGTAGTCACGAATTATTGAAAGTGAAAACACTGGGTTGCCAGATTGGTGTATGTTTATTATAATTCCACTGCAAAATTTGTTTATACCCTTCTGTCCATCTCAACAGGATCACTAAACCAGGCCCAGAATCGTGTGTGTGTATATGTGTATATATATATATATATATATATATATATATATATATATAGAGAGAGAGAGAACTAGAACTAATGTAATTTGACTCCTATGTCTTTATAGTAAGCCTACATTCATTTTTGTGTGTATAATTTATGATATTTACACATTATCCATAATGTCTAAATTTCACATTACTGGTAGCCTACATAAAAAAATAAAATATAAAACATTACTGGCTGGCACATAAACAGAATAAACGTGTTGAATTAAGATTAAATTAATTTTTACGATAACAATTATAAAACTAATGAGGTGTTGAATGTATCAATAAGTTAAACATTTGGTTGCAAACTAGTTTGCAAAACTACAATTAGCAAAAATGTAATTATAAATAGGCCTATGTACTACTGTTCTATTTAATCAAACTGGCCTGGCCTTTTTTGGACATATTGTCATGTCCAAAGTGTATCTGACAATATATAAATAAATAATATTTTCATTTTCAGGCACCATGTTGTACCTTTTGTGGAAAGTCCCGGTGTGAAATGTATACGTTGGAATTTTCAAACAAAAAGGAACACTGCCCTCTAGTGGCATTATTATAGTACCCCCGGGTGCAGAACGTTTTATTTTTTCATTTGAAAAGCTCATCTACTTACCACTTTTATATTAGTCTCTGAATCCTCTGCATTCCAATATTTGACCATATAAGGGTCCAATTATTACTTTTCATTTACTAGATGTGCACGGCTAGCTTGTTGTTACAGCAGGTGTCTAACTCAAGTTGTTAGTTGTTATTTATTTCAGGCTGCAATGCTTCCTACTGCACATCAGAAGCATTTAGCCATAATTATGTACTATAATCATACTTGCTGAGCAACATGGACGTTTTTGTTGCCTAAAATGTGTTAATGTAGACAGTAGGCCTTGATTTAGGCTACTCGCTGCATTAGTTTTGTGCATTTATGTTACTATTAATATTTCACCTATTAATTAGGCTACTTTAGTAGTTTGGTCATATGTTACGCGTCTGCTACATTTGGATGTGAGAATCAACCTACTAACTACAAAATTTTGATGTGTTCAGCATCTGCATAAAACACTTAGGCCTACTTGTCACCACTGACGGCAGCTGCCGTACGGCTGTGTTTGCCTACTAAAAATGACATCCATAGTTTATTCACAGCTTGAGCACAGATTGTCTGGAGAAAAGAGTCGTCCACTGACAGATGGCAAGGGCAGAGATGGGAATCGCTTCAGTTTAAGCCTAGTTCACACTACGTGATTTTAAGCCCGATTTAAGCCCGATTTGCAAATCGTTGAGTCGCCGACAAGTCAGGGTGTTATCGCGTGCAAATCGCGGGCGATTAGCGGACGATTAACGCTCGCCAATCCGTTAGTGTGAAAGAGCCAACAACGCATCAAAGACAGCTCGCAGACAGGTCACCGAGCTCAGAAAAATATCTAGCCTGCTAGATATCTCGAGCAGTCGCGCGACTCAATCTCAGTGATGTCATGAGTACAGCCAATCATAGCAACGCATGGGTTGAGGACACCAGGTAAATCTTACTTTTTCTTTTTTGCATTTTTTTTCTCAGAGCAGATCGTCGAGCAAACGGTGTGCAGCACTAGTTTCTGTCTGACGTCCATATTCGCGTGTTGTGTTCTTCTCTGTAGTTTCGCGTCATTTCTGGTTCGTTTTATTGCGTGGTTTTTCGTTACAAAACATGGTTTCTAGACCAGATAGAATCGTGTTGTTGTCAACTCGTTATTTGTTTGATTATTTTCAGGATTTAGACCGTGCTATAGTACTGAAACAGCTCTCATTGAGTCACAAATGATATGCTCTTATCATCCGATCGTGGTTGTATCTCGTGCGTTGTTAACTCGTGTAGTGAGTTACCTCCTGTTGTGGATCAATCACGTTGTGTTGTGTGGTGTGAACAGCTGGGAAACCATATCATGTAAGACCGATTGATTGACTTCTGCTCACCACTTGATGGCAGCACGTGTCCATTGAAACTTGACGCTGAAGTTGCTTGAAGAAACATCCAGTGGAATGAGGAACAAATTTACCTTATGGGTCACACACGTAACGTAAGGACCCTGATAATCTCTAGAAATCTGCTAACTACAGATCTATTTGTAGAATGAAATGCTGTTTTGAAAATGGTTGCCTACTTCAGCAATTAGACTGTGGTATAGGCTACATGTTCTCTAGAACAGGTTTCAGGTTTCAATCCATGAGATGCCATGGACCCCCCAAATATGACCACACTGATGCAAGAGCCATCCTCCTTAAATTTCAAAGGTTTTTTTTCTTCTCTTTTCCACAGACTACACTCCCATGTGGGCATATAACAAACACATTCAGCTTCTGCTTACTTTTTATTATCCAAAACAATTCTTCTGATTCTCCCGTTCTCAGATATTCATACATCAGACGCCTTAGCTTGTTCTCTTCTTTTTTGAGATGCCCTAGCTCGTCTTGTGTGTCTTTGCTCATTGCTGTCTTCCCATTCTGCTGACAACTAACAGCATTCATTAAAGACCAAACTTAGCATAGCTATTAAGTTTTATGATGAAACATTAGTGTGAATCTAAGATGGAATGTGCTACTGAGCATCCTACAATAAACAAGTAGACCTATAGCTAAATCATTTTCATCCCTTCCTAGGACTCTCGTGGATGTGAGTTTCTTGTCTACTTATGGAGTTGTCAGGTTTCCTGTCCTATACCCGAACGGTCCTCTGTACCATGTTTCTTAAAGAGTTTTTTTTTTTTAAGAGAAAAACAAAAATTTGCAAGTGTACTGAATCTGAGAAGGACATGCTTGTTGAATGGATGATAACAGAATGAACAAGTGATCGAGTGAGTTTTCCACCACAGCAGAAGTCTATCAACAGCATTTGCTACTCATCTCAGCATGGGTTCATTTATTCATGCCATCATTTATTCATCTTTTCTCCTCTACCCATGGTCTCTATTTTCAAAGTGAATTTCAAAGTTCCTCTGTGAGAGACAGAAACATGATGTTCTTTCTCCAAGTGAGTCTCTTGTCACTTCTCGCTCAACACAAATATAACCTCCATACATAACGTCAGTATCAGGCGTTTTTTAAGTAGCTACTTTGTGGGCCCGTTTTACACATAGTCTGACTGTTATGAAAAAAAAAAATGTGTCTGAGCCTCCGTTGCTCCGACAGATGGACGTGAGAGACTAGAGAGTGATAGGAGAGATGGAAGGGAGTGTGAGATAAGAAGAAAGATCTGCTTTTTTTTTAAGCAGTGTCACACACTGTATCTTTTTGATACCTTGGCTCATTGCTTCTCACTTCTGCGGCACGTTGCCATGGGAACACAGCTGCAGCACTTGAGTCGTGAGTTGGGGAGGCTGGGGGTTGCTATTTAGTAAACACGTTCACATTTCTTCATTTGATTTAGCAAGTTGGATGGGAAAAAATGTGTCTTATACAGAACCTACAGTAGCTCTGCCAACGGTGTGATCAAATGTGTTATTTTGTACTTAGAAGCTTGAAATGTTCTCATCTTGGATGGTTTTTACAAGTCAGCTCTCTCAAGGATCACTTTATAGTGCATCCAACTCTCTATATTTTTCTATTCATCCCATGTTGTACATTTGGGCACCAACATGTAAAGGCAGGGTGGGTGATTTGTTCCAGTATTTATTATTAGTTATGCTGGTTAAAAGCCTCTTCACATCCTGATAGCAATCACTAAGTTAAGTGGTCTAATGCATGTATATATATATATATATATATATATATATATAGTCAGTGGAAGGTGTAGGACCATAAAATATTTGTCTAATCATTGCATTCAGTCCAAATGTTTAGCATTTCAATGGCAACAATGTTAATGCTGAAATGAATCTGCAGCAGGTACAGGTTAGTTCTCTTTAAGTCGTTTATGTTAATTATTATTGTAACATACTGTATGTGCTTTGAGACATGAGGTAGTTTAACACCATTTCTCGTGGCACTTATGATTGCTCCCAGCTGCTTTGAAGACATTCTGAAGAGACGGTTGGATGGATCTCATGCTTTCAAAGTTAGTTCGCTATTGCTAGCCACTCTGAAAATTGCTTATTTAGCATTTCTTACACAGACTCAAGGCACAAGTTTTAAAGGCATAGTTCACCCCAAAATAATTTCCTCACCCTCATGTCAGTCAAAACCTGTAATATTTTTTTTTTGTTTGTTTTGTTTGTTTGTCTATTTAATAATAATAATAACAATTCATTACATTTATGTAGCACTTTTCTTTGCACTCAAAGCGCTTTAGAAGCATAGAACATAGAAGGGGGAATCTCCACCAATGTGCAGCATGCACCTGGATGATGCAATGGCAGCCATAGTGCACTAGAACGCCCTCCACACACCAGCTACCAGAGAGAGAATGATGAAGCTAATTGGCATATAGGGGGATGATTAAGAGGCCTTGATGGACAGAGACCACTGGGCAAATTTGGCCAGGGTGCCGGGGTTACACCCCTACTATTTTTTTGTAACCACAGAGTTAGGACCTCAGTTTAACGTATCATTCGAAGGACAGTGCTCTTTTGACAGTATAGTGTCACGGTTACTTTACTGGGGCATTAGGACCCACACAGACAACAGGGTGAGCACCCCCTGCTGGCTTCAATAACACCTCTTCCAGCAGCAACCTGGTTTTCTCAGGAGGTCTCCTATCCAGGTACTAACTAGGCCCAGCCCTGCTTAGCTTCAGTGAGCAACCAGTCTTGGGCTACAGGGTGATATGGCAGCTGGTCATATCACCCTGTACATTTTTTTATTATTATTATTTATTTTATTGTTTGTACATAAGCATCTTGTTCATTCTTCAGAGTTTGTGTTTCACAGAAGAACGTAACTCATACAAGTTGGGAATAAGAAGAGATCTTGTAAAAATAAATAAATAAATAAATAAAGGTTGTTCATTTTTGGTTCACTGAAAAACATCTAACATCCATCCATGAAACCTTTTCATCCTGCATTGCACAAACGGTTCTTTAAAGTAAAAAGAGGTCCTTGAGATTATCAAAATGTTTTCTCACTAAAGGCTGGAGGAATAGACAATTTTTGAAATCTGAAAATATTTTAAAACACTATACACTTGCTGACTTTGTAAATAGTTACAGAGGAAAACCTGGGCAGGAGAGTCATGACAAATAAAACCAATATTTTTTTTTTTTTTAAATCGGCTCAAAACAGTCAAACAGTTTGATATCCTCAGAATGGATGGAATTAAACTTTGAAGCTAAATAATGGGAGTCAGTGACCATTACACACTACACAATTTTCTGTATAATCTGTAAACTCAAAGCTGCAGACTGGCTCTGACTTTCGGCAACTGGTGTCAATTTGTCTAGTCTGTAAATTGGGGTAAACATCTGAGCAAAAGTCAGGTTGTCCAAATATCTCTTTTTTGAGAGTGTGGGTGGGTGAACTATCATCCAACTGCATTCTTCTCCATATCCTTCACGCTTTGATTAAGAGTCCAGCCCTCAGCAGACCTGTTACACATTGCTCATGGCATAATGCCAATATTTTCTACCAGAATATTTTGTCAACCATTTTTGAAGCTGTGATGGACATAGTAAAAAATGCTTGAAGGCTATGCTCAAAATAGCATCTGGTATTAAGAGTGGTGTGGTAGATTTTTCCCTACGTAATTACCTGCTTCTCTAATTGACACCCAAGTGCCAAGACACATAATAAATAAATGAATCTGGGGCGTCTACAATCAACACCCAAGCATCTACAGATGTAACTTAATAATCAAACTTAATAATATCTTTAAACTTTAGCTCTGCGTCTAGTCAACAACTGGCTTCGAATTCTCAATCCCTAACTTATTCCCCTAACTAACTTGCTGTGCAGCAATAATAAACAGACCGATTTCAGCAAATACCTCACAGCCGGAGAATCTCAGACAAATTTCTGAGAGAATCCCACCAGAAAAAATGAATACAAAAACATGCTATATGTGCTATACTGTATGTGACGTTCATTCTCGTATGTTACGCGGCAAGTTTGAGCTTCTGCAAATACCAATAAGATTTGTTCTTATGCGTCAAGCACATATGATTCAGCTGCTTATATTTAAATAAAAATATTTAAAAACTGTTCATCATCGTAGGAAGCTATCAAGTTTCTCCAGAAAATTTGGACTAAACAGCTCGATTCATGTGAAAATCTTTGTGAACTTCTTGAAGCGACAAAGTGGTTTACGGACTGTCAGTTGAGAGACAGAAATCTGTCAGATTACATCAAAACAATTTTTATTAAATGGTAAAATTTTAGTTAAACGGAAGACTTATGATTTGGATCAATGTGATGTTTTTTTTTTTTTTTTTTTTTGGATGAACTAACCCTTTAAGTAGCTATTGAGTTCCTGTGAGAACTGACCAGGCTACCTGGAGATTCTTCAGAGGTTTCACCAGTCATGGAATTTGAGGAACCTCAAATGGCAGCCTACCTCAAACAAAATTTATATATATATATATATATATATATATATATATAGGCCTATATATATATATAAGCACATCAACAGATTGTATAACACACAGGCTAGGTGAGAGGGTGGATGGTTGGGGGGTGGGGGCTTTAAATAAAGAAGTGATGGCATCTTCGTCGGGACGTGGCTGCATATTGCGGTTGGGATCACGCAGGAGTGGCATCATCCCACTGTAGAGAGGTCTACCCCGATCTTCACTCTCTCACTCCCCCTCCCATCCTCATTCTGTATCTCTCCCTGATCCCACAGTGTAGTAAAGCGGATGGGCAGCTAAACAAACAGCGGGATCTTTTCAGAGAAGACACTGACAGAGGTAAGAAACTTTTCTCTATTTATATCACCCAAATTTGCAATAGTCGATGGCAGACATGCCTGGACAGAAAATTTGAACCACCTCTTCTCACCACTGAAGCATCGTAGTTGCCCAGACTGCGCATTGCTCTGAAGAGAAGCCACCTGCACGCGTCGAGACTCACGCTCTGATGAGATCTAGCCTAGAACCCGTCAACGCATTCATGCGTTTCTGGCAGAATGTATGTGCCTCAAAGCGTGTATTTCAGGGCAGTCGTTGAAGCGAAAATATGCAGGTTTGAGGAGATTTTGCTCGTGAGTGTTACTTGTGTGGTGCCATATATGTATGATCCTGCGTCTCCTCACATAGGATGTAGTTCACTGGAAGCTGGTCTTAATCTATAGCCATGTAAAAAAAACACGGAGAGCGACTGCAGGAGGTGCACTTAGATCGCCACTAACAGATGTGCGGAGAGGATTTGGTATTAATATAGGCTACCATGGCGGGGTTTTGTTGGCGAACTGCGTGACACGGTTTCGGTTCACAGCAGCATTAAGACGATGGAAGGGGCGTTCTCCTTTAGTATTTCATAACTTTGACATGATTTCTTTCATCTCATGTATTATTCATCAGTATGTATGAAAGAATGTCGGTTAGCATTGCGTCTCCATGAACTGTGTGCTGGAATTGCATTCACAGCACTGATGTGCGTGTTTGTAAGGGTGAGACCGAGACATATAAAAGAGGAGAAGTATAGCTTGAACATTGAATAGCATGCGTCGACATCAAGTAATTAATGGTGTGACACTGCCTTTGATTTGTCTCTATGAAGTTTCAGTAGCCTATGAAGTCCAACGAAAAAACCTGTTGGACACGTGTTTTACCTTTATATTTTCTCTCTATATTGTTTCATTTTCTAAAAGTATTCTATTACAGGCTATATAACATTGAACATAAATGCTCTTACATTTTATACAGTCGTTATAATGCGTGTGTCCTGGTAAAGAAACAAAGATGGCAATATCCGAAATCCTTGTCCTTTTGGGGATTTTTGTTTTGGTCACCATGAGGAAAACAGCTTATAAATCATAATTGAAATGCAAAAATGCAGAAGGTTTTCTGTGATTTGGTTATAAGGAGACATAATACAGTAGGCCTATGTACAGTATAAATAAATAAATAATATAAATAAATATATCATTATGCTTATGGAAAGTCCCCATAAAACATGAAAATGTAATGTGTGTTTGTGCACGTGTGTGTGCATTAAATACTAATTTATGCAATAAAGATATGGGTCACTAAGCAATGCTCAAATTGTAATCCGGTCTGGAGCAGCAGGTGTAATCATTTTTACAGTGTATCAGTCAATTCTTATCACAGTGTATTCCTTCTCAATATAGTGAAATAAGTTTTAAAATGGCTAATGAATGGCAATAAATGACTTGTGGAGGTGCTAGCAGAGTTTAGGAGGATTACTATCCCATTGGTTTGCACAGGTGGTTGCCACAGTTTTCGAACTCTATCAGTCATTGATACTCAGAGTAATTAGCTCAGTTCCTCAGCCACAGGAGCGCTGTGTTTTCACAGACTGTCCAAGAGCTGGACACAAAGGTCAAGCCACCAGCGTTGTGAAGTAGAGGACATTTTCACCATCACCCCGCAAGCTTCATGGTTTGAGGGTGCACAATCTGGTGTTTAAATGTTTAAATGTGGTTGATGCAGCTTGGTGTGTGGTGAAACCAGCGTAAGGCACTATAGATGATGTTGTTCTTATGCACTTAATGCATCTTTCTCCTCTCTGCATTGAGAGGCAGTAATTATGATGCCAAGCTCAACTGCCCCTTTGTTCCAAATACGTCCCTAAAGATCGAATCCCTGCAGGCTTTCAATGTGCCTTTTAATTAGAGCCTTATAATGATATAAGAGAGACAGAGACTGAGGGACAAAGTATGTGTGTTAAGGGGGAGGGGTGTCTTATATTCTGCTTCGCATTAATGAATAATCGCTTTGATTTAGTAATGAAGACTGTGGCTATTGGACCACAATAATGTTTTGTGTGAAGTCAGAACTGTTCCTGTTTTGTAGGGCAATAGATAATTTTAATCACGTCAATCACACATTTTTAATCATGCTGTTAGTGTGAAAAGAGAGAAGTGCTATTAAGTAATCATATGTCATGCTGCCTAAGCAAGCCACATAATCAATAAAACATAAAAGTTGAGAAGTGATCACTTATTATTATGGTAACAGAATCGATGAAAGATAATATCAGTGCAACTGTGAGTTTAAACATTTGTTATATATATATATATATATATATATATATATATATATATATATATATTTATAGTAACTCCTTGAAAAGAATGAAGTTGCCCTTTGGCAAAATGAGGAACCTGTTTCATAGTCAGTCTGTCTTGCATTTAAGCAAATGTTGTAGTAATGAGGCTTTGGATAATGAATAAGTAATTTAATTTATGTAACTTTTTGATTTATGAGTCTTTTTTAATAGATTTTATAGACTTTTAAAAAAAAAAAAAAAACAGTAACACTTTACAATAAGGTTCTTTTATTAAACATTAGTTAATGTATTAACTAACACGAACTAACCATGAGCAATACATTTGTTACTGTTTTTGTTAAACTTTGTTAACATAATAATACAAATCCAGCTGTTTATTGTTTGTTCATGTTAGTTCACAGTGCATTAACTAATGTTAACAAGATTTTAATAAAGTATTAGTAAATTTTGAAATTAACATTAACAAAGATTAACAAATGCTGAAGTAGTTTTGTTTATTGTTAGTTAATGTTAACTAATGAACCTTATTCTGCCCTACAAAGCAAAAAGGCAGTAAAGTTTTGGAAAAGCATTAATTATTACAATTTTTATGACATTCAAGGCATCCCTTGTTATGTGACAAAACATCTTATCTTAAATGTGTCTCGTTTTAGAGAAAAATGGTAGTCGTTTGTACAATAACTGCAAAAAGCCCTAGCAAAAGTCATTTTTCTCAGTTCTGCACTCTGCGTAGTTACTGCCTTTTTGCTTAGGGCAGTATTGTAAAGGGTTACCGATTAAACTGAAAGAGTGACCAAGCTTATGTCTATAAACATTGTGTCAACATTTTAGCTCAGCCAGTACTACACATATTCTTACATCTTTAAATACTATTTTAGACTCTTTAATTGTCTGTAACAAAGACATAGCCTATATTTGTCTGCCATAATAGTCTATTTTACAAAATAGACTCTAAGAAAAGACCTTAAAAACACTCTATAAAATAATGCTAACACTTTACAATAAGGTTAATTAGTTAGCAGTAGTTAACTACAGTAGTTAGCGTGAACTAATAATGAACTGCACTTATACAGCATTTATTAATCTTTGGTAAGGTTAATTTCAACCTTTACTAATACTTTATTAAAATCTTGTTAGTTAATGCACTGTGAACTAACATGAACATGTTATCATTTTTGATAACAGCATTTATTTGAAGTAGAATTGAAATGGAATTATTTGAAATATATTGTATATCGTGGGGTGGTGATGCCACAGTGGATAAGACACATGCCTTTGGTGTGAGAGACCCAGGTTCGAATCCACTGTGAGACACCAATGTGTCCCTGAGCAAGACACTTAACCCCTAGTTGCTCCAGAAACGTTCAACCTCTTATTTATAGCAAGTTGCTTTGGATAAAGGTGTCAGCTAAATGAATAAATGTTAAATGTTATATTGTTTTGTAACAATGTAATTGTCTTTACTGTCACTTTTGATCAATTTAATGGATCTTTGCTGAATAAAATAATATCTTAAAAGAAAACTTACTGACCAGATACAAATTATGATAGATAAATAAATAAATAAAAAAAACCATAAAACATAATGGACAACATCGGCGTGGTTGGGGCTTAATTTTGTCATGATATTGCTTCTGCTTTTAACATAAAATGCTTATGTGGATGTCATTTGTACTTTTACAATAAGAATGTTCATTTGAATGATACCAGTTTTGTCATTTAACTTGATCCCAAATCAAAGTCCTTGATATATTAAATGCAATACAACTTTCACCTCAGGAGGATGTGCCTCATGCATCACTTTATTCCTGTAGTTCATTTGTAATGGGCGTACCTGCTGTGTTACAACTCAAATCATGTGACAACTCTCCTCAAGCAGTAAATGTAGTCAGATGTTAGGAGACACAGAAATGCATAAATGCTTTTTTGGCACACTACTCTGATACCCTGAAACACAGTCAGCTGTCTCACATGTATTGTCTGTGTCAATCTAGATTGACCCACACAGATTCACTCATAGTATGCATTCATTTGTATGAATTTGCACTTGAGTGTGTGAAAGCAGATATTTTTTTCTAGTGAATGTGTTGCCTGCCTAAACATGCTCATCATCTTCACACGTTTGCCCAGCAAACAGCAAACTCGTCTCTCCAGATGATATACTACTTCCTGCCAGTGAGTGTGTGTGATGATGTGCTGATTGTAATTGTGGTGTGTGTATCCTCATTACGAGTCTCATGATGATGGGTTAATGAGGCTTGCCTGTTTACCTACTGTCACTTCCTATTGGCTGGCTCAGGGGGCTAATTACACTCCCAGTAACATGGGAGGGGGGCCCTAAATTACCTTAAGCACTGCTATTACAACGTGGATCTGTTAGACATTGTATGCTGACAGTCTACATGTTTGTTCTGTCTGTGTAAGTTCATATATTCAAAATAATACATTAAACAGTATAGGCCTACTACATATGAAATGTTGCCTAAAGTTGTCATGTGGAAGTGATAGCATTCATTTTTTACATTTCCAAGAGTGGTACTAACCTGTGTAAGTGTGATGGGTGGCTGCCAGGTTTTTGCTATGCAATTGTTTGTTTGTTTGTTTGTTTGTTGCTATGTGGTTACTAGGGTGTTTTGCGAGTGGCTGTTAGATTGTTGTTTACAAGACCAGTTCAAAAAAGAGTCCACCCTCAAGCCTGTTCAAACCACAGTGAGAG